TTAGTGATTACATATTTATTATTTTATATTGTAACATTATCTTTTGATATTTGTTATCATTTTAGTATAATGATTTAATTTGAAATGAATAAAACTAATAATTTTTTTTTGTGATGATAACATATGTTACTTTTCTAGTTATACAAAACAGTAAACAGTATACGATAAAACTATTTTTTTGAAATGAAGTCTCCATAGTATAATGGAGACCTCAATTTGAAATGGAGACCTCAATTTGAAATGATAGGTTAATTTCACAGCACAAACATTATCAGCTAGGGCTTCTCTTTATCCATTATATTTATACTATCCTCATCATAAATGAAAAAAAAAAAACAGGTTAGTTGTACATTTTCTAAAAAAATTTGTAAGGTGAATGTCTTAGGAACTTGCATCTTTGCTGGACGTTTTCCATTTATCATTCGAGTGGCTCCAATAAATGGTTCAACTTGTGTACGCCTTAGGGCTAATTTATTGCAAATATTGCCTGAATTTTGATTAATTTCTCATGATTTTTAATTTGTCAGCAGCTCTCTTCTCGAATTTGCATATAAGAAGAAACGAAATTAAACAAAAAGGAAAAAAAAAATCAATCAAAGAAAAGAAAATCTGAAGACCCGTTTAAAAAAGCATCAGATAAAATAGTTACGCTCGCGTAAAGTCACACTGTAAGCACGGCCCATATTTATTTCTGAATCTCTTACAATTTAATCATGTAGAAATCTAAACATCGGGGCTCTGACGCAGCTGCCTTATTAAGATTCTAAGCTTGGCCCATATTCGCGTCTTAGCAAGCTCATCTTATTGTTACTTCTTCGATATAGTTTACAATTTCTACAAATTAGCTGAAGGATTTGGATTCAGCGGGCTTAAGCACCCTACTTGGCCATAACTTTAACAATTGGTATATAATAGTGCTACTATTTGGGCTTGTTGTTCGATCATAATATATTATAAAGAACTTTAAAAATGTCTCCGTTACACGCAGAGTTTAACGTTTTGCTTTGTGCAATGAAGAATTCTCTGCAGTTATGATTTTTAACAATGTCCTTTGAATCGAACTAACTCTAACTGGTTAAGTTGATAAATGATGAAGAAGATTGGCCAATCTTAGCATCGTGTAATGGAATGAATGTGAGCATACACGAGACTTATTCTCTGGTTTTTCTATTACTTTTATTAGTAAAAAGCATAATATAAGGATTGATCTCCATGTCGAAGGAGCCCGTTCCCAAATTCTATATTTTCCCGTGTAAACTCTTTGATCCAATATAGCTAGCTCCAAAGACTAACTTTTTCGTTTTAAACTAATAAATAATACATGGAGTTTTACATCAAAGAAAAAGATTACACTAATTGAAACAACGTGAACGAAACTGTGAATCTAATGTTATCAACAAAACACTCATGGTTTAACCGATACTACTATCACAAGAACATCAGAAACACATAGAAAAAGCTAGAAATGAAAAAGAAATGACAATAAGTCTAATGTTCTTCTTCATTTTCTTTGGTTACACACAGTTATATATTTTCTTGAGGAATAATATTATTTGAAACTTTAAGTAGTAATAAATATGAAATTATCGTTTTTCTTTTGAAACGTGCTATCGTTTTCAGTAGATCACCTGCTACCATGGAATATTCCATGGATCATTAAAACTTGACAAAACAAAAGATCATTATAAACTCTTCTTATAACATACCACTAGTTTTACAGCGTTTTTAAATAAAGATTCACCAAACTCTAGATGCGGTCATGTACTAAACTAAATTATATGAGAATCGAGACCCAATAGAAAAAAAAAATAATAACACCGACACAACAGTTGAAATATATAGAGAAAAATTATTGTTAAGATGTCGCTGTCAACGAATAGAAACACAAAGTACATGGGATTTTACTAGAATAAATACTCAAAAGCCAAATGCAATAATTCATGCGACGATCATAGCAAATTTAGATGCCGCATAAACGATGAATTCTGATTTAGCTCGTCGCCTAACCCATGCCGACGATCATGTATATATATATGCAATAATTCATGCAAGATACAATGCCACTTATATGAATTTTGATGCAGAAAAAATTATTGATCCAACCCATTAATTGGAAGAAATAAAAATAGAGGTTCCACATTTCAACTACACCAATGTAAAAGGTCTTTTTTCTTTTGATTTCCTAGCATCCAGGGTCAAGGGTCCGACTAATATATATTTAGAAAAGTTTACTTTGCATAATTAACAATATCTTTTAGAAAACAAACGTAGTTGGATCCAACAGAGTTATATAAGGATCAACTAAAAAGTCTTAAATGCACACTTAAAATGTTTACTATAGCTACTAAGACGGTGGGTATTTAAGCTCCTATCTTGTTTAGTGCTATCATCGGCCAATGATACGACCTTACTTTTCAAAAAGGACAGAAAATGTAACAAAAAAAATTGAGATTTAATTGGGAACACGACAATGCGGGTGATAACTGGACCAATCAAGATTTGAATTTATTTCTGTCCTTATCTTCTTTTGGTTTTCCATAATGAATAATCTTTAATTATTTTGTCATGGGACACTCTGCAGATTTTATTTGCCTTCCACAAATCAAACATGCACGTGGGAGCTGCCCTTCACAAATTCATGGAACCATCCAAAACTCTAGACGTCTGTTTCCTTTATAAACTCACTGTCGGTTTATTGAGTATTTCTCTATACAATCTGAGACCAATTTATTAATGAATCACTCTCAATATAAATTATAATTTGCGATCATAACATTGATCAAATCAATGTTTTTGCGGCCGTTAGCTTTATTCGAACTCGTATGATACTTCTACTATTTGAAGTGTTGAGTATATTATTATCATGAATCTTGAACTTCTTTACCAACACAAATGTTATTAATTATCGTGGTCGTCAGTTTGGGTATACATATATATACGTGAAACATCTATGGTGCTGTTCGTTTGCTCACCCAAGTGATCCATCTGGGTGAAGATGCAAATCAATGTTCGTTTTGTACATTAAAATGCTACATCCAGATGGATCACCCAACTGAATTTCTTAAAACTCATCTCAAATTCTCACTCAAATGAGGGTGAGTCTTGATGATGCATCTGGATGCAGATGCATCTAGTTCAGTCCAAAATAGTAAATGACAAAAATAACCTTTTAAAATAAATATAATTTTTTCAAACCAAAAATACTAAATCTTTTTTGTAATTATATTTTTCCGTTAAAACCAAAAAATGATTTTTTCGCCAAAACCATAAAAACTGAAAAATGTATTTTCCACCAAAATTGCAAAAACACACTTTCCCGCCAAAACCACAAAATAAATATTCCCGCCAAAACCGTAAAAATACATATTCCCACTAAAACCGCAAAAATACATATTCCCGCTAAAACTGTAAAAACGCATTTTCCCGCCAAAACCGCAAAACGCATTTCCCGCCAAAAACACATAAAACATGTTTTCCCGCCAAAACTGTAAAAACGCATTTTCCTGCCAAAACCACAAAAACGCATTTTCACGCCAAAACCGTAAAAATGTGTTTTCCCGCTAAAACCGTAAAAAAAACGTTTTCCCGCCAAAACCGAAAAAACGCGTTTTCCCGCAAAACCATAAAAACGTATTTTCTACCAAAACCGCAAAACACATTTTCCTGTCAAAACGCGTTTCCCGCCAAAAACGCATTTTCTACCAAAACCGTAAAAGTCATTTTCCGCCAAAACCGCAAAAACACGTTTTCAAAAACCCCTAAAACATGTTTTCCCGTCAAAACTACAAAAACGTATTTTCCTGCCAAAATCGCAAAAACGCATTTTCTACCAAAACCGTAAAAAGCATTTTCCCGCCAAAACCGCAAAAACCCGATTTCTCGCAAAAACACGTTTTCCCGTCAAAACCGTAAAAACGTATTTTCCCGTCAAAATCGCAAAAACGCATTTTCCCGCAAAAACCGCAAAACACGTTTTCCCGTCAAAACCATAAAAACGTATTTTCCCGCCAAAACTGAAAAACGCATTTTCCCGCAAAAACATGTTTTCCCGTCAAAACCATAAAAACATATTTTCCCGCCAAAACCGAAAAACGCATTTTTCCGCAAAAACCCGTTTTCCCGCCAAAACTGAAAAAATGTTTTTCCGCTAAAACCGTAAAAACACATTTTTGTGTTAAAATCGTAAACGTTAATTTTTCCAACAAAACTGGAAAAACACATTTTTCATCAAAATCGTAAAATTCTCGCCAAAAATGTAAACACAAATTTATTTTATTCATTTTATTAACAAATTCATTTGGTTGCAGATGCAAGTTAAAAACAAACAAACGAACATAGTTACATTCAGATGATTCATCTAGATGTATAGACGAAATAGAGAAACGAACAACATCTAGATGCTCCATCTGGATAAGGCATCTGGATGGATCATCTGGATGCATCTTTCAGATGTACAAACGAACAGGGCCTATGTCCTTTGGTATGCTCAAACTCAGCAAAGTTGTTGGTCTTAGTTAATGCTAACTGGCTCTATCTACTTTTTTCAACAAAATGGTTCTGCTTTACACATTTATATGCATATTAGGTAAATTATAGTGGAAACGTTTTACAATTCGTTATTTTGTATTCATTATGCTTATTCGGTGGGTATTTCGCTGTCATATAAATATCAGAGTAATAAGGTTTTGACATTTATTAAACGTGTGTTTCGTTGATCTCATAAGATCGACCTTACATTGTCAAATTTAAGAAAAAATCAGAATACGAAGTTATAGGATCTGTGTCTCGGTTGTTGTTTGCAAACGTTTGCGACTGCTTGTTATAATATATGTTTTACAAAATGAGTACTAATATCAGAAAAAGTAATAATAACCTTTTCTGAGAAACTTAGAATTGAAAAGAAACTCTGTTTATACTTTACAAAGATATTTTACAACAGTTAAAAAAAAAAGTTAAATACAAGAAATAATCTTTAGTTTAAAGGTTTTTTTGCAGTGATAGAAAACTTAGGAAAAAAACATACTAATATAAACACAAATGAAAAATGGTGTTTCGATTACCCGAACCCTAATATTGACTAAATTTAATAGATTAGTTAATGACGTAACTTTTATTAAATTAAGATTAATCTAGTACCCCAACCGCAAGAAAAATGTTTCGTTTTATGGTACACCATGCACGTTAGATGTGAGTATTACTCTCAAAGTATTTAATTTATAGAGAAGCTTTAACTAATGCATTACTTATACACCATTCATTTTTTTCCAATAATCAAGTACCTTATGGTTTACTTCTTCCAGCTAATAAATGTCAAAAAAAAAAATTTTGTGCTAACAATGCCAACAATGGGTATGTAAAAAGTTAGAAAACATCGCGTTTCAAAGCTGTAGGAGGGGGCCACGTTACTATTTCAAATAGTAGAATTTATATTAATCCTGGACGCATATGAAAAATTGCAAGGTTTTAAAAAACGCAAACACTAATGTCATTATCTCGGCTAAACCCCAATAATATAAACACTTACATTTCATTAGCTTTCATTTCACCGACTAAACAAGGAGAATAACAAAAACGTCATCAATGCCACTGCAGCACCTGACCTGACCATCTTATAGAGATATCTCATCACGCAATGTGAAAAAAAGAAATAACAGAGAGATTCCCATGGAAACTAAAAACGCAACAAAACAAAACAAAACAAAAAGAGCTTAAAATTACAAAGTTTTTTTTAGGGAAAATGTTTTAAAGAAAAGCTTTCATCGAAAACTGAGTTCAAAGGAGAATCATTATTATACGTAAAATCATCTTCCGGACCACCGTGTAACCATGTCGGCATGAAGACCAAATCATCCAACGTGTCAAAAAACACGAACTCGTTCGACTCGTCTAAACTCGTTCCTAGACTCGGCAGCTCGACTATTTTCTCCAAATCATCCGAGACTGTACTCTCCTCGTCAATGCTCGTCACACACGACGACGCCGTTTCACTACTCTCCGAACTCTTACTCGACGCTGCCTCGTTACTCTCGCTCTCTGTCCCTTTATCAAACGCCGCCGTTTCATTACTCTCACTCTCAGACCTTTGACATACCTGCTTCGTTCCAAAGTCCATGAGAGCCGCTTTAGTCGCCGCAGCTCTGACGTCACGAGGACTGAGAGAAACGGGACGTGGCAGAGAATCAGAGAGCTCAGGGAAGTTGAGAATGGCGGAAGATCCTTTAATGCTCAGAGCCGCCACGTCATGAGCACGCATGGCCATCTCCGCCGTCTGAAAAGTCCCGAGCCAGATCCTAGACTTCTTACGTGGCTCACGGATCTCAGATACCCATTTTCCCCAGCTCCTCATGCGTACTCCACGATACACTGGCTGCTTAGTTCCTCCCTTCTTCTCCTTGTCCGAACCAAGTGAAGAATCCACCATTGTTAAGTTGTGTTCCACGAACGGTCGGAAAGAGCTCGACCTTTCTTCTTTTGACCTTTTTATTGTAATGAGATTTGTTATAAAAAAAAGAAAGAATATAATAAAAATCTAAAGCGAAATGAGTGAGAAATTGTTATAAAAGATTGTTCTTGTTTGTATCACTATTTGGTGAAATTTCTAAGTCTTGTATTTTTTGGATGTTTCCAAATCTCTCAATGATTTCTCTAGATGTTTAGTATTAACTTATATATATAAGACGTTTACATACTCCCGTATATATGTGTGGTGGAAAGAGATGGACCCATGCGTACCTACGAGATAGGTTGGTGTGGATGTAATGTAATTTTATTTTATTTTTGGTTTAAAGTTTCTTAAAATATATTTTCAATTATAACGCAAAACACGAGATGATGTTTTCTAATCTTTTGCTTTTCCTTTCACTTTTGTGATGTGACACTTAGAGGTTCCTAGATTTTTCTCCCACAGCTACAATCCGTTCTATTATTTGCCAGAAAATATATAAGAAGAAATTATACAATAAGACTCGGACCATCTTCAGTATATTAACTCGTACGACTTGCAACGTGCAATGATTCGAATCTATGTAGAGTACATAGTCAGCAGTCTATTGGATTTACTGAACTTATAAGTAGAAAGGATTAGTCTTTTAAGTATTTGTGTCATTATTACTCCACGATATATTTTACTATAAATATAATTAATGAATTGGTTAAGTCGGCAAGGACGTAATAAATTCGTAACTAATTAAGTATGAAGTACTACATATATGCATTATGTCACGTTTCTTGAACCGCTGCTGAACGCGTTCCATAAAAAAAACATTAAAGAAAACTTGTTATACATTAAGCTCATAAACGTTACCACTCGACCTATACAATGAGAACACCTTATTCTCTTAATTAATGTAATTCATATTCTGGCTATAACTAGGTATGATCAGAAGCACAAAATTACATATTGTCTGTCGGCTAAAGACGAATGTTTAATATGTTAATCAAATACCACCAAAGGTCAATTTTTATCATGCGATATAGATACTATCATTGCAGTATGGATCTATTCAAAAGATTATATTATGAAGTTGTCGTTTTCTATATCTCCTTCGGTGGTGGGGTTCTAAAAGGGCCTTCGTTTTTTTTTTATTATAAAAAACTGCTCTATTATTACATCATCAATAGTATTGACAATAATATCAAATAGTGATAACGCGGACTTGTCAAGTTTTTTTTTTGTTTGCTTATATTGCTGAGAAAATATCAGTTCGTCTGTCTAGCCATATTTGCAGTTTTGCAAAAATGTTTTATTTGTATAATAATTTGTTCAGAATGTAAGAACTGAGAAAAATGGATAAAGAGGAGGCTGTAGCCGTTTATGTCCATGGAAAGGTACAACATATGTACGATGATAAACCAATGTGCACGATGGCTTATAAAACATGACATGTAATGGCCTTCACCTAGTTCTTAAAGCTCTCAGCCAAAGGTTTTTTTCTGTAAACATGAAAAGTTTGTTAGATGGCCTATAAAACATGACATATAATGGCCTTCAGAGAAGCATGCATGTTAACTTAAAAAAACAGTAAGCTTCAACTTGTTTAAAAAAACATGAGAACGGTTAATTTCTTTTCAAAGAGTTTTAAGCAAGTGATTTTTCTATCTACAACAAACTAAATATGATTAGTAAGAAATTAAAGTATTTCTACTTATATTTCTACATTCCTACGAGCAAGTTTTTAAGTACTTATATATAGGATAGTAATTTTGAAAATAAATCATTGAGTCTTGTAAATGTATTTTTACATTTTATAATAAGAAATTTATGTAAATATGATTAGTAAGAAATCTACAATGATAATCCAATACCCAATTCTTCTGAAGATATAGGTCTTCTAAAACTGTTGTGCACATCCAGCCTTGTTAACTTTTTAAAATTACTAAAAATCACTGTTGATGACTGTTGATGTTTGATTTTAGAGTAGGAATGTTCTAATATCAAACCAGAAGTTGTTTTTATGTTTTGATAAAAAAAAGTTGTTTTTATATGAGTCTGACCGATGGGATGTTGGAATAATTAGGGTAGACTGATAATTTATAGGAGAAAGTTGGAAGGAAAACTAAAATTAACTACAGAAAAGGAGAATTAAATTTTAATGAAATTTAATTATGTGTTATTCTAAATTCTTTTTTTACAAAAGGAGAATGAAATTTTAATCACCAAACAAGAAAAGACAAAACAAGAAATGATTATTTTAAATGAGAATGACTGATTATAATTTTTTCGACTAATGAGACAAGAGGGAGTAGTTAGAATAACTACAAAATTTCATCCCTAAGGAGTAGCATTTTTGTTGAATTAGTTCGACCATTTGATTGACCTGCATATACGCTCCACACAAATAAACATTTTTTAACTGACATAAACGTTACATGGAACCATAGACCTAAAGAAGCAATAATTTTAATTAATGAAACTCTTAAGGTTGAACTTGAAAGAATAATTCTGAGATCGATCCGATATTAGAGTTTGAGTTCTTTTATTGCGACTTTCTAACAAATGCTAAAGGCAAATGTAAAAAAAAAACAAAAACAAATGCAAACACTTTAAACACATACTGTATTCAGTTATTTTCATGCTGCAAGAACTCCGGTTCATATTTTTGGTAGAATGTAAACCTAGACCAAGTACTGTTTGATTTTTTTTTCATGCACTTAATAATAGTAAAAACTCGTCGTCACCAGTCTTTGTCATTTTCTGTACTATATTGCCATCGTCGTCTACAATCCACACAGTTTATTCTTGATATTTATTTGCCGACGTCAGTCTTTTTTTCTTTTCCCTTCCCATCCACCGAAATTTATGAGCTGGAATCAGGTTTTAACAGACCAAAATTGAAATGAATCTAGTGAATGCTACAATATAGTATTATGAATAAAAATAAAAAAGGACTATAGTATAAAAAAAAGTGAAGAAGTCGACAAATGTTGAAGAAGAAGAAGAAGGAAAAAAGTCGTACGGACAAGATAATCCAGCTGTCTTGTTGAGTTGCACTGTTCGAGTCCTTGGACGCGTTCTTAACTATGGTTGACACGTGTCCCAACCGCGACCAAACACGCTCTCACGTCAACTATTGCACCCTGCCAGCATATTAACAAGCTATTATTATACTAGGCTTGGTCATAGTTAAAGTACAATATAGTCGACACAAGAAAAAAAGTACAATTTACCAGTAAAAACTTGCTAAATGCAAACTAAGCCTTTATAATTAATCTGACTACATCCCTTAAACTTAATTATCTCTGCATGCTTGATTTTTTTGGATTTGGATGGTTACAAATTTTATAACACATGACTTTTTTAACAACAAAGTTAAAAATTCAATTCTTAAAATCTTTAAATAATCTTTTTAGTGAATCCTTACACTATTTAAAGACCTTCATGACATATGAAGATCTACGATTAATTGATATTATTTTTTAATCTGAAGAAGAAAAATTTTAAAATTTTTTTTTCTAAAAATTCTAATAAATTATTACCATTGGAGATGCTCTTAGAAATTAATCAAGAGAGTTCAATACACAACAGAAAAACAATTACATAGAGCTATCTTTGCTAGTGACTCAGCCAGAGAGTTTTGAACTCTAGGAATATATTCCGATATCCATAAAAATTCAAAAGAAGTTCATTAGATAGATTTTGAGATAATAGCATTAATGAATTCATGTGAATCAGATCGGTCAAGATAGTAGAAACGAGGGAGAATTGAGCCGCAAGGAGAGTTTCTCTCAGTGCTAGAGCTTCGGCTACAATAGGAGACTAAACGTAGAGGCAGCTGGTTACAACACATCTAAAACTGTGTGTTAATTGTTTAATTTTTTAATGATGTTTGATATAGCATAAGAAGTTACAAAGAATGCAGTTCGTAAATGACAGACCATGATGTATATAGGTAGAAAATATTTGTGTACTTTATATATTAACCTTATTTATTAAAAAGATTGTAGCTTTCACTTATCAAGATGAACTGCAACACACATTCTGAATGAGAATCTTCATTAATCTCGGCTAGAATTTGCAGCAGCAATCCACTACTTCTTTAGATTACAATTCTTTTACAAAGATTCATTATCAACCTCTACATATATATACACATGGAAACTCAAAAGCTCAACACAATGCTAGCAAAAGAAAGCCATTGACACGAGCTTATTATTGCTGTTTTCTTATAACTTTGTAGTCGAATATCTTAATATAACTCCAGACCGATAATGTAGTCACAGTCCTTATTGAATAAATTAGAAAAGCCTTCGATTTCTAGGTCCAAAATTACAAAACAGATTGAGGAGCACCTTCAAGTGCCGCATGGAACTATTTTTTCACCATTTACTTGACCATATGAACAAATATATATATATTTTTTTTTACTTTCATGATCAACATTATCAAAATAAAAAACATTATACGTATGTATCTATCAATAAACTTGAATGTATGATTTTTCAAAGGACTCATGAAAAAATATAATAATAATAACTATATCGTACACGTTATGTGGTTCTCTTTTGAATTATTTGTGCCGATGATGGTTACAAGCAATACCTACTTGGTCGATCCAGGCCATTGTAATTGATATACGTCGCATTTTCAACGTAACCAAAACAGGATTCTAACTTTAACGTAGGACACAATATACACAAAAAGATAGTCCATTAAAGTTAAACACATGACCAATTGAAAAGTAGCTGCATAGCCATATATATCTTTTTACGCCATTGAAAAGTATGCCATTATGTTGTGTCCAAAGCAATGTTTGTCGTCGAGCATCCACGAGTCAATTATATGTAGACGTTGTTTTATTAAAGATGAACAAAAGTTAAAGATTCTTCATGCTTATATCGCTATTTTGGGACCTAAAGATCGATCCCTTTCAACGGCCGGCAACATGAAGGTTATGATTATATGTTTGATTGGTATCTACGATGACGATATATCATAACACTCAAGATATAATCATATGAAAAAGATGCTTTTTAGAAGATGGAGCATAACAAAATTGAATCAGACGTTTGTTGCTGTGGGAACAGTCAAATGATGTAAGGTTAGTCGTGACAACTACATCCGGAAGGTTAATTGAACCGTTAAACCGGAGACAAACCACTAGACCACTTCACAATTATTTTGGTTGATTACACAAAGAAACAAAAGATTTTGACAAACCACACAGGACACAAGGATACATACATTCAGCAACACACGTGAAACAGAAAGGTTCAATCTTCATCACATGATGTAATTTTCAAACATTTATGATTCAAAACCACCTAATGTTTTCCAGTGAACACAATAGAACCGGTTTCAAGTGAGCTAAGAAGCTGCTGAATCCCTTCTATCCACATCTGCTTCTCTCTTTTGTTTACACATTCAAATTCAATCACCCTTTCCACGGTTTTTACACCAAAGTAGGCTCTCCTCTCGACCATTTTGTCCACTCTTCCTCCTCTATGCTCCCATTCCGGTATATCTCGGCACACTCCATTGACAACACCTGCATCGAAATACGCCCAACTCATGATTCTTAGTTTCTAGATTAAGGTGGAAAAAATGAATGGTTTTCACTAGAAACAACTTTCTTATTAGCTTACGGTTAATGAATGAACAAAGTCTTAGTTGAAAAAAATAATTAAATAATATATAGGATAAATGTCAGTCCACTTATCGTCAATTAGTTTTAAGTTGGAAGTCTATAAACCTAAATTTAACACTTACATTTCTTCGTCTTTGTGAAAGTTCCACCCACATGTTTGCTTTTCATTTTGAGTACCACCTAGTTACAAAAAAAAAATGAAAGTACACATATAAAGAAAGAACATAAATATCTTTTAATTAAATCTTGATGAAAGAATCTTCCATGCAAAAAGAACTTACTTGCCAATTTGAATTGATGTTAAAAGAAACTTGCTTCCAATGAAGATCCCCTGTCACCAAATATATATTTTGTTAACTTCTTGACATGATCAAAACGGATTTCTTGGATCACAAGTTACCTTTGCGGGTGCGTTTAAGAAGCTCTTCTCCTCTAGAAACGAAAGTCATCGCTCCAAATACATTTCTCTCTTCCCTTTCTACATTCTCTTTTGTTGCATATAACATTGCTTTGTTCTCATTATTCCTTTCCATCCTTGACCTTAAAATCGCAGCTCCTCGTAACGCTAAAACCTCTCAAAATCAGCCGAAACAAACCAAACAAAACAGTAAACTAAGCCATAAAAATAATCATTACTACACCTGTTGCAGCACTTGCCGTTAAAGCCATGATGTCTCCATTAGTCCTAGCGTTGGTCGCAGAGCTAACGGCTGTTTCTATCTGGTTATAACCTGCTCCAATCTCTCCCGCCATCTCGATGCAGTGTGAAGCGATGAGAGCGGCTGCAGACGCAACCGCAGCAGCCACTGCTGTTGATTCAACCGTATGTTCTGCGGCTGCAACCGCGTTAGATGCAGCGTTCGCGGCTACGGCAGCAGCTACTCCCGCGACAGAGACTGCGGCGTGAATCTCAGCGTTGCGAGTTCTGGTTTCTTGTTTCTTCTTCTCCTTCTGATCCTTGAGTCTTCTTCCCATTGTTCTTCCTCTTACCATGCTTTTGTACAAATGCTGTATCACTCAAAACTTGCATATAAGTAAGTTCCATAACATTAATATTTACATTTTGCAATCTTTTTGTGTGTTAGTGTTACGCATATCATTAGTTGGGAATTGGTAAACTCGTTTATATAATATATCATAAGTCCTCAAATACTTTTGTTTAACTCACATTATCAAAATCTCATTTCAATTCAAATTGTTTTGAAATAAAGAAAATTAACTCATAATATTCAGCTTTACCATATCAAAAAGAAAAGAAAATGGATTTAATTTAACAATTGCATGTATCCATCATGACATTATAATGCCGTCTCTTTTCTTTCGGTTATTTTTTTTATATATACCAAAAGGTTCAAAACCAATCAGCTTTTTTCCTTCTTTACGTGGACTTCTTTTAATAAAGTCATGATTGATTCGAGATAAAGAAAAACCGAACAAAACCGGTTTAATAAATCTTACCTTCATTTCTCTGCCGGTTCTTGGAGAAATTGGAGGGCTGGTCCTGTTTCCTATGTGTGGCAACAGCTGAAAAATGATTCATAAGCGTCAAGTTTTATATTCAAGTAATGAAAGTGTAACTAAAGTCATACTTTTAGGTAAAAATCGTTTTTCTTCTTTACTAAAACACAAAACAACCACCCAAAAACACATAGACAAAAACTCACATAAGAGCCCATGCGCAAAGTTTAGTTACTTTTGACTAGATAAAGATAATCAACCTGTGAGGTCGTGTGCTATAAATATAAAGAAAAGTGTTATTAAATAGTAAATTTTCTAATTCCAGTTTCGTAAACGGTAATATATTAATTAAGTTCCTCTTGAGCAATAATCAAAAAACAATACAATAAACGTTTTTGGTGAAATTTTATTGATTGTACATTTAAAAACAAAAAATACTTAGAACTTGTCGAGAGTAGTACTGGTACATATCATCGTGATATCTTTAACCTATTTGATATCAATGTTGGTCTATAATAAGTATACGTACTTGGTACTCTTATAAAAAAATCATACTATTAAAAAATCACACGAATAATATTTCCATCTATTTTTTATATGGTGGAAAAAGTTCACATATTTATTTTTAATTATCATATTTTCACATATAAAAAAGAAAAAGAAAATTAATCCCGAACTAGACAAGCTGACCCGGTTTAGAGTGTACTAGGAAGAGATGACTCACAAGGTCACGAGAAGAAGCCATGGAAGTAGAATCTTCTTCATCTTCTCTAACATCCTTATTGGTATTAACAATAGTAGAGAGAAGAAAAGAGTTAGTGTCGGCAGCAGAATTGTTGAAGAAAGCTTTTGTGAGTTCCACGGCTGAAATGCTCCATGATCTCCCTAGAAACTCCATCGTCTCCGTCGGTGTCTCCGGTGGTAACGCCGTCTTCACTTCCAGCGCCACCGTTGCTGGACCTTCTTCTTCTATGTTCTCTAGTTTTTTCCATGAACTATCCCTTCCCGTATGGCACATCATCACTGAAAAAATCACACACACACCATAATTAATTTGAGTGGTTAACGAAATTAATTAAGGGCAAGAAAAGAAAACTTACAGTGGTCTAAAGTAGTGGGATGTTGTGTGAAGAGGGTTTTGTGCAAACTTGTCATTGTTGATAGAGATTTCAGATTTGATTGGAGAAGAATCACTATGTGACTTTGGCACTATATATGTATAATTAATTGATTCCCTCTTTCCTTTTTTCTCGCATTTCTTACATAAAGTAATAATTCCTTTTGTAAGTAAAAAATAAAAGTAATATGTAAAGCAACATTATAAAATACAGTTCTGTCAAGGGATATTCATATAAATATATGAATAAAGGTTTTCAGCTCAAGTGGAACTTTAAATTTTTTGTTTTACCTTAGTTTTAGTTAGGTTAAATCTATATTACCTTCATTATACTGAGCTTTTACAGTTCAAATTTACCGGTTAAAACTTAACAGCATAGCATTATAAACACTCAGCAAAGATACTGATGACTAAGAAACATAAATTTGAATTGTTTTTCAACTTTTCCTTAACCATATACCATCTCATAATGTTTCATGATCTCTACCTAAATCTTCACAATTTCTTCATCTTTGAAAATTGTTATCCCAAATTTCTTATTTTTTACTTTTCATCCGACTTGAAAACACCGACTATCAAACCATTAAGTAATGGACTATAAACACAGCAACCAAGGAAAAAGAAATAGAAATAGAGGCACAAGTAAGAAACATAACTATTAATTCTGTGCTATTTTTTTTTTGTTTCTATTGAATTCCCCAAATGGGTTTTGTGGGTTTAAATTTAAGTAAAACAAAATGATGGGTTTGCCATTTGTGTCCTAATTATTGCCTAAATGGAATGTTTGGTGGGAAATAAATTCATTACTTTCGTTTTCATAAGGAAACAGAACTCAGATAAACTTTTAACTTATATATAATGAGATAATGTTACATCATATATAAGTGTAAAGCAAAGTAGAAGAGTTGAAATATATCTGCAGAAGAATAAAAAGTAAATGAGTGGAGCCATAGAGTGTGGCATTTGTGATGATGCTGGACAAAGTGAGCCGATATTAAGGAACTTCTTCTTTCTCCTTTTTGCCTCCCACTCATATTTATTCATATCTAACAAGTCGATCCCGTATGATTACAAGTCCATTATCATCGTGGTTTCTATCTAGGAAGAATTAGTGGAAAAAATACATATCTACGTTATAAAAACAAATATATATCTATATAAATAAGGCAATTGAGAAAAAAGAAGAATAATTTATTCAAAACTTTTTTAAAAAAATCAAAAAAAGTTTCAAAAATGGAATAAGAGATGGAGGGCTTGAAAATTAAAAATCGATTGAGGCTCTTTCTCTTAATACAATTCATTCGTGGTTCTCGGATTGTTAATGGCTCTTTGGATTTATTCTTTTTGGTAAGAAACGTAGAAATAAAAATATTAACTTAAATAAAACACATCTAAAAGAAACACAAAAATCCGATTCCCGGTTCAGATTTAAAAGCATGGCTTTTTGAAGGCTTCTCTCTATTAAACTGGACTTTACACGGACCCGTACAATATTACTGACAAGGCCCGAACGAACAAAACCATACATATTAGTGAAGTCAACAAAGTCTTGTGATTCACATGGCTTTCATGTCAACAAACAATCAACTTACAAACCTGGTGGCTTAAAGAAAGGGACCAAACAAAGACAGATTCTAGATCCAATGGGACTTGAAGAGACTGTTTGAGTAGATCAGGTGTATTGCTTGTATCTCCTTTCCATGTCGCAAACCACGGTCCTTCTCCTATCTCCACAGCTGCCATCGAACTCTTAGCTTCCATAACCACCTGCATCATTATTCACCATATTCCATAACCAACTTCTTCATTTTATTTAATGCATTTGCATGAATACATACTTTGCCTTTACTTCCATCATATCTTCTTTCCCATATCTGCAACTTCAGTTCACCGTAACAACTATCTCTGCAAGCTGTAGCTAAGCCAGCTTCTGAGGTCGGAGCACGCAGAGGTGTACCTGCTTCGTTTGTTCTTGCCTCTAGTTCCACCTGTCATAAAAGACATTCATCAGGTAAAGCTAACGATGTTGTCAAAGTGAAGCTGAATGAATCTTGAGGAGGAGAAAAGATATTACCAAGTGAGTTGCATTCTCAGCAGTCATGTACCAATAACCCCATGGAGACATTTCCCAGTTAACAACACCATTCCACGGAACAAACTCGTACAATTTTCCATCATAGTGTACACAAACCTGCACAATGTACAAGGGCTTAGAGATTTGTTAACTACTTGCCTAACATTGTGTCTTAAGACGATCTTAATTAGTGCCTACCAGTGCAGCATTTTCAAAGGTTTCAGTCAATCCGGGAAACTGCCTCAACCCGCCAGCTGCAGTCAAAGCAACTTCTCCTTTTGCCCCTTCAAATACATTACACTTGACCTGCAAGGAGACATTGACTAATAAAAGCTATGGAACAGGAGTTCAAACTATTTTGAAATGTATAGCACATGGATGGAAATTATTACCCAAAACTATTTTCTAGGGAAACCTTCACCCCAATTCTTTTCTGAATAAGAAGGCGCATCCCTAAATTCAAACCTTTCACAACCCCATTCTATCCACCCTGAATGTTCAAGTGATAACACATAAGATCTGGAATAGCAGCTTTTGCTGCTCATGCAGTTAATATGAAGGCAGGCTAATTACGAAATTGGATAAGTCTCTCCCTAACCAATATTATAGATAACAATTCTCTATATCTTTTAACCAATAAAATTTTAAGAAACACAATTTTTTTTTTTGAAATCTACAATTTTTCATTAAATTTTACATTGAAAATGTAAGAAATACATCTTTTTGGAACAAATATTTTTTTATAGAATGTTAATCTTTTTGAAACGAATGAAGTAGTCGACAGTTAATATATTAATTTAACATAATAAATAGTAAATAGAATAAATGGTAACTGTATATGATATTAGCACTTAATAATAATTTGATATTAGTCGACGGTATACATATTATGTGTATAAAAATTATGTATGTATAAGGAGCTAATGTCTGGATAAAATTATGTGTTTTTTTGACCTAAAAATATCTCAACCTAACATTACAATCTACATTTCTAAATAATACATAATTAATTGAAAATGTAGATTAATTATGTTATTAATACATAATTAATTGAAAATGTAGATTAATTATGTTATTAATATATTTAATTATACATTGAAAATCTAAGAAATACATCTTTTTAAAACAAATATTTTTTTCTAGAATGTTATTTTTTTGAAACGGAGGAAGTAGTCGACAATTAAATATATTAATAATAACATAATAAATGTAAATAGAATGAATGTTAAATATATTAATAACAATCTACATTTCTAAATAATACATAATTACTTGACCGTTTGAGTCCAAAAATAATAACCAAAAAAAAAATCATTTAATAATAAATATTATTATGATTTTGTTTTATTAATATTAAATATCTATTTTATTAAAACATCAACATATAACCAATTAATAAATATATGGTCCAGCTATTTATTACTCTTGTATTACTTATTTATATTAATAACACTAAATTATTTAATTATTTATAAAAATTATTAAATACAAATATAGTTATAGAAAACAGAAATATAAAAATTATAATATTCAAAGAGTTTAAAACAAAAATATATTCTTCTTTGATAGGACAAGTCAGAATCGTAGTGTTTTTTTTTTTTTTTTTTTTTTTTTCAGCCGCCC